GCAATGGTACTTGATAATCAAGACTATCTTGTCATAAAAAATTACACAAACACCTGTAACGTCAATCAAATGACATTTTCAATATATTCATTTCTCATTATCTATCTTTAAACTATTATATCAAGAATGGCACACTCTTTATCTAAATCTTACATAATGCACCTTTAAATCCTACCATAGAATTTTTTTATTTTAATATACCGGGTAGTTAGAATGATAGAGAAATATGTTGTTTAGCTATTATACCATGAAGTGATATCTCTAAAATAAAAAATCATGGTGTAATGTTAAGTTAAAGTTGATCAACTCGATTGATTGAGAAAAATCCTGTTGGCACATTAAAACGTTTGTTGTTTAATAAAGATATTAATATCCTGAGAGCCGAGGTGGCTCAGTGAGTGAGGTGCTGGCTCATTACCCAGGGGGTACGAGTTTGATCCGGATGTTGGCTGAGAAAGTTCCCACATAATTTTCCACTGTGGATTCCCCATGTCAGAAGTGCAGGATGGAGGGCCTGGCAAGGAACAGTGTCTAGTCATTCAGATGGGACAAAAAGAAAAGGTCCGATGTCCACTTTGGCTTGCACGTAAAAGAACCCTTGACAGTTGGAATCTAATTGCTTTCAGAGCAATAGTTCCCCCATAGCACAGTGCATGGTCGTCTTCATTAGCCTGTTGATGTTAAACCCCATTTCATTCCATTCATTCATTATTTCATTAAAATCCAGACCACACTATTATAATTTCAAAGCTAAAACCAAAACGAATAATATTTTATCAATACTTCTAATGGTACACATATAACAGAAAAATTAAAAGAAAAAACCCCAAAACTGGAATTCAGAAAAATTTAGAGGTTGTACCTAAACAAACAAAAACTTTTTTATCTTTAAGTTCTGGTTAAATTTGGGGTGATTTTTAAAAAAAATTGAGAAAACATAAGGAACAGAAAAACAGCTTCAGTCAAAAACAAATTTTGTTTTGAGTCGATTTTTTTTAGTTGATAATCATATTTGGTGTTGTAAAAATACTTTTGATGTTGACGGAAGATTTGTGAACAAGCTGTCCATGCCAAACATCGCATCGTGAAGTTGGTGATATTATCCCTGTTCGTCATCTCACAGCATACATCAGCACAATATCTTATTGACAGAGACTACCCGAACAAACTCTAGTCTTTATTGACAAGTCAACAAGAAAATACTGTTCTTGATACCTTTCAATAAGCAGACCTGAGTATCAGACTCAATCAGGGCGGTGTCCTCCACCAGAAAATTAAAAAAAAAAAGATTTGATTTGGTGCATTCTGAGTGAGTAACACAAGTATAATGCAATTTTTTTGTATTAGAACCTAAGTTTTCAAGTTAGTCAAGCTACGAATCCCAGCCAGTCCTTTTTAAAGACAGTCACTTTTAACAGGCTATATGAGAGACCTTTAGCAAAAAAATGAAAATCACATGCTCAGGCGCGGATCCAGAGGGGAGGTTTTGGGGGGGGGGGGGGGTCCAACACCCCCCCCCCCCTGCTCAGCTACATAAATTGTTTTGTAAAACAACCTTTTTTATGAGAAAAGTGTCATAATTGTGCTTTATCCTTTATCGTCAGATGGTTCGACGGGATTGGCAGTCAAAGCACGGGATAATGATATAGACATGTGATATCACAATTAATGCTTTGCATCAATAAAATTGAATCACAATGTTATCGTATTAATTCATAATAAAAATTGACGTCAAACAGGATGTTGGATTTAAAAAGATCAATATGTATGTATATACGCCAAAATGACGATAGAGACCATGTATTTCTCCAAAAATTTCAAGCCGGGGGGGGGGGGGGGGCGGAGGATACATTTTCTCAGGAACCTGGCAAACCCCCTCCTGCAAAAATTCCTGGATCCACCCCTGCATCTGCATGCTTTTGTTTCCATTTGAGGGATAGAAAGTATGCATCACACTTGTAACAGAAAGCAAAGTGTCGACTGTGGGGAGACAACCTTTCGAACCGCCTATGCTTTGGATCCCATTGGCAGTTGGGATTCGCTGAAGATTAGTGGGTGAAATATCTCCCATAGAACACTGCATAACATATGACCATTTCTGTAAACTGACTGGAATATTTTTAAATCTGGAATTTATCAATCTGATCAAAATACAGATCTATATTTTGTATCGTTTTTTTATACTTCGATGGCCTACACTACATGAAGATCTGACCGGTTGTAGTGATAGGTCGCGTCAGAGGTCATACGAGTGGCCTTTGATCTATGACATCAGACATTTGATTAACCAATCAGCATTGATGATACTAGTGGATTACCCACAGTTCCGTGCAAAACACGCCTAAAGCTCGCCGTAAGAGACCGTTTCATTGGCTAATTCCTCCCACCATTCAGAACACGTCAATGATAACAACTCTTCCAGATCCTAGTGTAGTAAAGACAAGTTAAATGAAATTTTGAACTATAAAAAACGAAACGAAATAGGATCTGTGTTTTAATCAGATTGGGAATTTATCTGCTTATTATTAAATCAATCTCGGAATCAAATTGTGTTTTCCTCAACAGCGAACGATTTAAAACAGGAAGAGAATGACAATAATTGCATGAAAATTTGACTGAAGCCAGAGTTCAATAGATCATCGAAGACTTGTTGACTCTGATCAAATCAAATTTACACAAAATAACGTCACAAACAACGACTTCATTCTTGATCAACACCATGCTGAACACTTGACCAATGAAAGGCTGATATTTTAAAGACCACACTAAGGTGAAGAGGTCAAGTATCGTTGTTGAATGTGGTGTAGAGGATTTAATGTCATTTGTTGAGTCCGTCAACCCAATCCACTGTTTATATAAACACACCTCAACAAAAATGCAATCGGCACGGAGGAACTAAGAGCCTTTTACACTACAAATTTCAAGCGTGCCAGGAACATTGCTGAGAACGGAATGGTCAATTTTTTTGTATTGTAAACCGGTCAAACATAATTGACCGTACAATCTGGACCACAGAAAGCAAAATCTTTCTGATATAAACATATACGTTAAGTTTCGTCAAAATCAGATGAAAATATGGGTATATAAAATGTGAAAATAAGGCGGCTATATAATGTAGGTTTATACAAATGTGTAAATGCTTTGGCATTCAAACTGCATTGCCTGGTTAAAAATAAAGTAAAATCACAGAAATATTATAAATTTAATGTTGTAGTGTTATATAAGATTCATTTTTAGAAATTGTTTAAATACTACATCATATTTCCTTTTCTTTGTTTTAAATTGTTTTATTAGTTTCACTCTCCATCAAGTTCTTAACAGTGGCATCTTGGGCAAACATGGATGAACTGATCACTTAAAGTTAGGGATTGGCATTTGATATTTAACAGGAGTTCCATGAACCATGAATGCTGCATTTTAGTGAAGCATATAGTGTCTCTATCTACCACGGCCTGATTAACCCTGTGTGGGGGTGGGGGGGGGGGACAAGACAATGGGAAGGAGGATTTCAGAGCAAACCTCAAAACCTATTATATTCGAAATAATGTATGGATGATCTCATATTTCCTGAAGAACTCGCGCCTCTATCAGAGGCGTAGCCCTGAAATATATATTGGGGAGGGGGGTCCGCAACCCTAACCCCTAACCCATTTTTTAAAACCCCTAAAAAATATAAACAAACACCATGTGGCCATGCTGTCTACCAAGACACCGCGTGCAAAAGCATTATGGTTACGTTGCTGGCTGAGCAGGTGATAAATATTTGGTTTAGACAGTAATGTTTTTGAGTACCTACATGTACATGCGATTCACTCTGATAAGTGGCAGAAAAAAATTAACAAAATATTACTGACAGGCTAACTAGACACAATTTTATGGAACACAGGTACTTTTCACTTCACACATGTTTCCAGGATGATTATCTCTGTGTTTTATTTTAGCAGTATAAACCATATTGGGATATGTACAGGTTTTATACAGATAGAATCTTAACTAATCCAAATAATTGTTGTAAATAAATAGGAGTTTGGACCTACTATGTAAATTTTTTGGGGGGTCCAAGTATATTCAGGCCCCCTCAGAAAAACAATTGGGTTTTAGAAAAATTAACAATAACTTCAACTTACCAAAGAAGAAGCGATGAGGCTCCACCCAAAGGAATAAAACATGGCGTTACCTTAAAATAACGCCCCAGATGCTTCTCTGTTCGTTTTGACAGAATTTTAACCAGCATAGTTTAATTATAATAAAGACGTCTTACCTCCCCGAATAAAATTTAGAAATTCATTTTTAATCATATACACGTGCTCCCCGATAGTCTTCGTCATCATCCAGACTAATCTGTTCTTGCTATAGTGGGCTTCACGCTGTGTCCAGGAATCATATGGCGGGAAAATCATCGTGCACGTGTTTCAGTTCAGTCTTTCCAGTAACATTCCATCAATATAATATGAGAAAGGCTGGAAAATAATTATCAACATATACCGTATAATAAATGCCGTAATGATTTTGGGGAAATGAAATGAAATACCTCTTAGACTACTATATAGCGATGCAGGCGATGAGGACATATAATGTTCCCCGGTGAATGCCGATTCCGCCTACTACTACTAGCCTACTCTTTTCTTGCGAATTTCAACTGCCATTGGTTCATTCGTCCATGTCTGCCAACGTGTAGGCCTACGGGACCGCGGTTTTACGTCCTATCCAAATTATAAGACTGCCGCACCCTTATTAAAGAATGCTACCATTGCTAGTGTTATTTTTTTTTCTTTTTGGGGGGGACGGGGTGGGTGTGTGTGTGTGTGTGGGGGGGGGGGGGGGTCCCCGTTTTCTATAGTCTAGGCCTATAGGATGAATTTTAGTATTCCAGCAGAGGCTCAGTGGGCGGATTCTTCAACATCTAATTTACATTATGTCAGATGTTAGAAACGAGAGTGGTAAATGGAAACGAAAGTAGTGAAGATCTTGTTTGATTGGCTTAGACTTTTTGGGTTCAAGCAAAGTTCAGTGTTACTGTTACAATCAATTATGGTTGATTTCGAGTGCTACAAAGTCTATCAAGAATAATGCCGGGATTTGTCAGATGCCAGGAGAATGAAGCTCTCGTTGTTTCGGGTTAGTAGGATCATGGCAAATCTTTAAAAAGCTGCATCTGCAGATCTCAGAATGTCAGGTCGTGATTGCAGCAATTAAAATTGGGAGAATGTGGATGACTAGGGCGGGATGGAAGATTCCGTTATATTGTAAATACTCGTTAAATGCTGAAACGTTCAACGGACGGATGCCAGAATCCAATTCATTAGCAAATGTTAGAACGTGCTAAAATGATTCATCAACTATTTTACTAGACTACCGATGGTCATGTTTATATACTTCATAACGAAACATTATTATTGCAAAGAGGACGGCGGAACAAGAGTTGATTTACGGTGACAAAAGTATAAATCATTCTTTCACGCTCGCTGAAAGGGGCATAACTTCTGTATAATTTTATAGGTATCAGACCACAGTTATTGTTATCTGAATTTGGCAGTATTGATATTGACTGGAATGGATATAGCTTCCATATCAGCACTATCTAACCCAAGTAGTGTCTGTTTCAGAATCGAATACAAAATGTGGATCATTTTGTCGCCTATAACCGGACCGAATCAAATCTTTGCATGCAGGTATATAAATTCATTCAATTAGCGGCCTTGATCTGATGCTCAAAGCATCAAATCTTTTCAAGACCATCACGGAAGGGTAGTTGGCATAGCAAACTTCCATTTCATACCATTATTAACATAAAGTTATTATACGTTAAATATACATTATAGATAATGAAAAATGAATATATTGAAAATTTCAGTCTAATTTTTATTACTTTATTTTGAGTGAAGTTATGATTGGTTGAAGTTTTGACAAGATACTGTTGACTTAAAAGTACCATTGCTATCATAATAAAGAAACTCTTGATTATCCATTTGAGTCATGTGGCATGGTTTTGATTCCCCGCTTGTAGGCCTACATGATAAGAAGTAGGGTCGTCTGTCCAACCCCGTGGGTTTTCTCTGGTTCCTCTGGTTTCCTCCCACTGCTGAAGACACCCATGCATAAACAAATTATTGAAATAAAAATTGAACGATACCTTAGTTCCAAAATGACCTAGTTTGTGTTGAGTGGAGTAGAGGTTGAACACTCTCTCTCTCTCTCTCTCTCTCTCTCTGACAAAATGAGTGGGAATGCGCAAAGTCTAATAATGAGCTACAGACAAAAACAAGTGAAAATGTTGATTTTGATCGAAATTGAGATTTTCACAAGAATGAGTCTATAAATTATACTAACTATATTGACCCAAAAGATTTAAAACAGCAATAAAGCATCTTAAAACACCTTTATATGGATGTTTTGTTAGAGTACCGTATTCTTAAATCTTTCTTTTTTCTTAAAATCTCAGTGAAATTAGTTATTTTTTGAGGCACGCAGCCAATCCTTACGTAATACTTGGCATCGTTGTGAAGTCGTGAATCACAAGTTATAATTATAAATATGGCCAAAGTATTACTGATAATCCCAATCTTAACGAATACAAACAAATTTTAAAACCCATAGAATACGTAAAAATTCTCATCCCAGACACTCCGCGCTGTGCATTGTGGTATTATGGCTTCGTTGTGCGTTTATCATTCTATCATTCTATCTTGGGTTCAGATTCTGATGCCATTGCGGTGCCTGAAAATAACAGTTGACCTATTGTACATGCAATTTACCTTGTTGAACCTTGTTTTACTTTGTTGAACTTGTGAATGTTCGAATGACAAGAGTTATAATCGGATCTGTATGAAATTTATATGCATTATTTGAATTAGTAAAATGAGAAAACCTGTCGAATTTCAACAATTTCTGAAAATTACTTCCAGAGTTAAGGATCTTGTTTCAGTTTGTAGAACCTTGTGAACCCTCAAACAACGAAAATTATAATCTGATCTGTATGAAATTGTCTTGCAATATTAAGTGTAGGGAGACTGCACCACACATAATTTACACAAAAACAAATATACGGACAAGACACAACACGCAGAAATCACAAACAAAGGAACAATTCAAATTATTGCCCCCAAATATCTACAAAAGAAAAAAATATGCGACAACCCTTGTCGGATGATTTAGTTGCTGTGCAGGGGCGGATCTAGGAATTTTGAAAAGGGGGGGGGGGCGCCGCAAAATGAGGGCACTGACCGTGGAGACGGGGCACGCCGCTGAGAGGGGATTTATTCGTCATTTCCTTGCATCTGTAGCCATTCCAAGAGCTATTTGGCTGATATTTTCGTCTAAGTAAACGTTCGGAAATCGTTGAAAAAGAGCCTTAAAATCGAGCAAAAAAGCCAGTTGAACATGTGACTCGAAAATTGTCAAGGCGAGCGAGGCATTATGATGGGTAAAAAGACGAATCTATTCCCTAGCCACTTCACTATTTAAGCCTTGTAACTTGTACTTTGTACTGCCCACACATGAAACAATGCTACATCAAGTTGCACTAATGCGCGTCGATGATGGGCATGAGTGTATACGCCGCCGATTCCACAAGATGTCTGTCTATAGTCACTCTATAGGATTCGGGCACCGTCAGCTAAACAACAAGAATTCGTTTAAAAGTGGAAGCATTTTAATTAGATCAGAGTGGTGTGTTTGAATCTATGGTTTGGGTCATTTGGGATCCCTGCAACGGGTTGGGAACGGACATATTTGGGTCTGAGAAAGGGCACTTTCAGCAGTAAAAAAGGGCACTGTCTAAAATTAGGGGGGCGCACGCCTCTCACGCCCCCCCTTAAATCCGCCTTTGCTCTGGGTGTATGTTTCATTGCCTGGCAGCCTATCTTTTATTTTTTTTGTCTTTTAAGGTTGTGGTCTTCATAAACCGAAAATCCGCCTTTGCTGTGGGTGTATGTTTCATTGCCTGGCAGCCTATCTTTTATTTTTTTTGTCTTTTAAGGTTGTGGTCTTCATAAACCGAAAATAGTGAGTGATGGAGTAACTTTCATATGGCCAGGACTTCAGAAGGTGGACAGGTATTAAAAACTAACATTAGACATGATTCCTGTTACTAAATTATGGGGATGTTGGATGGCCAAATGGTAAGCGTGTGCGCGTTGTATCATAAGGTCTGGTTTCGATTCCCTGGTTGTACGTGACAAGGAGTAGGGTTGCCTGTCCAACCTCGTGGGTTTTCTCCAGGTCCTCCGGTTTATTCCCACTGCTAAATGAAATTGAACCATATGTTTGTCCCAAAATGACCTAGTTTGTGTTGAGTGGGCGTTAAACCCCATTTCTCTCTCTTTAGTAAATTATGGGAGCTGCTGTGGCTCGTTGGGTAAGATGCTTGCTCGCTAACCAGAAAATCTTGGGTTACCTCCTGGTGTTAGACTGTTAGCTGAGAAAGTTCCTCTGTTGTGGTTTCCTCTTGTCAGTAGTGCAGCGCTGAGGCTGAGGGCCTGGCAAGGACAGTGTCTAGTCATTAGGATGATACAAAAAAACAACAGGTCCAGTGTACACATTGGCATGCACATAAAAGAACCCTTGATAGTTGGAATTAGAAATAAAGTGTCGACTGTTGGGGCGCTGTCTGGGCAAAATTTCCCTCACATCACACTGCGTGGGGTATGGCCGTCTTCATTAGCCCAGTTGGTTCAGAAAAAAAGGATGTGAAATTTCATTTCATTTTCTTTTAGTTGAAAAAAGCTGTTTTTGAACATCTCAGAACTGTTTAGCAATTCATATTACATAAAAAAAATCTGTATTTTGTTTCTTCTAGATTGGTCACCAAACCTTTTGATATAAAAGTAGACCTCAAGAATCAGCCAACTCAAAACTCAACCGTATTAGTAAATCTTAAGGCCCAAGTTCAGGTAGATATTATTTGTATTGTTGAACTTTTCATGATCTAATGGGGTGGGTGAAGGGGGGCGAATGGTTTATCGTGGTGTTTTAGATCATAAGGTCTGTCATTGTCGAAAATTGTGGGTTTTCTCCGATTTATCAGGTTTCCTTCCACTGCTAGAGACTCCTAAGCCCAAGCAAATTATTGAACCATATAACTGTCCAGAAATGACCTAGTTTGTGTGGATATTAAAACCCCTTTATCCTTCAGGCTTATACTCTTCCCTTTATTGGGGAGTGGATGGCTGAATGGTTAGCACATGCGCGCTGTATCATAAGGTCTGTCATTGAGTCAACTGGCATGGTTGGGTTTTCTCCAGGTCCCCCGGTTTCCTCCCACTGCTAAAGATCACTACGCACAAGCAAATTATTGAAATAAAAAATTGAACCATATAGTAGTCCTGAAATGACCTAGTTTGTGTCGAGTGGACGTTAAACCCCATTTCTCTCTCTCCTCCCTTTATTGATTCTTTAGACCAAGTAAAAAATAACTGTGTTTATGGTTACTTGTCCCAAAAAATAGGGTCAGTCAGTCGAAGATTTGTTTTTTTTTCATTTTGTGGGATTTGTATTATCTATTTCTAGCTTAATTACTGAGTAAAGTTCTTGAAAATAATACCAAAATGTCAGTGTTGGAAGTTGCCCACAGAAAACCATGCTAAGACAAAGTTATAGAGCCTGGGAAATGAGACAAAATATTTAAGGTTGGCAACTTTGTTAATAAAAAATAGGATCAGCCGGGTTACCAAAAACACAGGTTTTTTCAAATTTGGCCTTGTCCCATATCATCTTATAACCAAGAGGAACATTTGGTTACGCATGGATGATAAGATAGAATGCACGTCTGAAGGAAATGTGTGTGTTTTTTGTTATAGATGAGAATTGGAACCGAGAACGAAGAGCTGTTACGTGAAGCAATTGGTTCATTTTTGTCTAAATCAGAAGAAGAAATACAAAAGACTTTACAAGGAACTGTCGAAGGAATCCTGTCAACGGCTTTAGGATCAATGACTGCCGAGGTACATTTAATTTAGGGTCCATTGCATCAACACTTGCATCCAAACAATTAAGCCTCGGAACTGGGTGGATTGGTTGAACGACACCACATATAGAATATGATAATATGAAATGATAAATTGAATAATGGTCATAGTTCAAGATCCATGGGCAGTTCAAGATTTATGCGTGGGTTATATGTTTGGACGCACGTGTTGAAATCTTGTAACGCTCCCTTAGTACACAATGGGGGTAGGGGGAATGGGATGTGGAGGGTCAATAACCTCCTGAAAAGTTTGTTTCTGGTCATTCAGCCCAAAATGGGGGTGGGAAAAGGGGATGTGCAGTTAGGGTCGCCAGAGAAAGACAAATTTTTGATGTGAAGCATTGGTGTCATGAGGGGACGAGCCCCATCAATTTCAGTGCTCCACAACATTTCATTCTTGAGTTATCCCCCTTTTCCAAAAACCTTGTTAGTGCTATAGAAATTACAGTTTTAACACATTATCCCCCCTTTTCCAAAGACTGGGGATAAGGGCTACAGTTTTAAATGCATTTGTTCCAACAGTTTTTAACAATTTTTTTTCAAATTCGATGTGAAACATTCAGATAGGATGAGGATGAGCTCTACCGATTTCCAAGTTCTCTGTCCATCTCACATAAAATGTGGGCGTATCTTGCAAGGCAACCCACTCTTTGACTTTTGAATATATTATATTATGAAATATCTAGATTGGTGTGCCTCTAAATACTGAAAAAATTTGGTGTCTTGCAACTTTATATATTTTGCAGGATTTAAAGTCTAAGGAAGAGACTTTTAAAAGTTCAGCATCTGAAGCTCTGTCTATGGAATGTATAAATATGGGTGTCCTTGTTGGGAGTATTAGTGATATTGAGATTTCTGATGACCATGTAAGTATATAAATGGTTCAACGTCCTACTGTTCTTCTCTGACAGGGACATACAGTGTGCTATGAGGGACATTTTGCCCTGACAGCGGCACTATGGCCTACTCTAATTTCAAATTCTAAAAGTCAAGCAAGTGTTCTTTTAGGTGCACGCCAAAGTGTACACAAGATCTCCGAGGAAATCAGGCTGGAAAATACCGGAAGTGAACCCAAGACCTCTTGGTTAGGGTGCCAGCATCTTACACACTGAGCCACTGTGACTCCCTGTATATTAATGAAAATGAAATAAAATGAAATGGGGTTTTAACGTCCTACTATTTTGCGCTGACTGGGCCAATGACGACAGGCAAACACCTACTCTTATTTCAAATTCCAACTGTCATAGGTTTCTTTTACAGGCACACCAATTTTCGAGCCCATCCAAATGACTAGACATAAACAACAAAGAAAACTATCAAGTGAATTAATAGCAACAGAAATATTTTATTGTTTTTATTTGTAGGGTTTTTATAAGAATTTAAAAATGAAAGAAATGAATGACAATCTTACTGAAATTAACTTGACTACAACATGATATTTGACTTAGGTGGCAAATAAGGAAAAAATAACATGCAATTTTAATCTGGCGCTGTATACATATATATGTACATGTCTTATTTAATTGGTATCCTGTTTGTCTGTTATAAGCAGCAGGGGATTATTAAAAGGGGTTTGTCCTTTCTGTCTGGTTGAGTTACCATGATGTTAAACCAGGGGTACACACTACACCACTTTGACTTGGATTTTTCTTTTAATAAACAATATTTCTATTCCATAAATATCTAAATTTGGATTGGGGAACAGGCTAGGCTTCTGTGTGTCCCCTATCTCTAAGCTTAAGTTGTACCAATGAATAATGCATTTCTATTTATGTTGTGAATAATTTTTTTTCTTCATTTCTTATAAATGGTGCTCTTAGTAAATGTTTACAGTATTACTAAATGATATTTTTAATTATTTATTTAAAAATTGTTTTGAATTTACTAAATATTACAATGTTAGTAAATGTTTACAATATTACTAATATGTAATGATATTTTCTAATTATTTATTTAAAAATTGTTTTGAATTATTTTTCTTTTATATTATTATTGGTAAGATGTACTTTTTTTTAAAACCAAATATTTAATCTATTGTATGTTATAAAAACTTATATTTACCTTTAGGCTTGGCAGGCTGAACCCTAGTGGAAGTGCCGGGTTTACCTGAACCCTAGGGCCCTAATATACTCTTCAAAAAAAGTAGGGATATTCAAAAACAATAAAAAAACTGCGAAAATGCACTGCTGTTTTTATAAGAGGTAACCAGTGTATGTTAATAACAAGCCAATTGCCTACACATGAACATAAACGCCCCCATTTCACTTGCAAAGAGATACACCGTCAAAAGTGAAAATGGAAGTTTTTGATTTTTGTCTTAATAATGAGTAATTGCTCCACCAATCCTCAGACATTCAGCAATTCGTTGTGTCATGGTCCTAATAAACCATCCAATCACAATTTGGGGCTACCTGACCCACTCCTCTTGCAGTGCCACAGCCATTTCTTGCAGTGTTGTCGGTTGACATTGATGTCGACGACACGTCTACCGATCAAATTAAACGTAACACACTAAAGCAAAGATATGCTAAACAGTAAATCTTATGCAAGAACCGATAGGAAAGCCAACATGGATAGATAATCAAGCACGCGGCAGCTTTCATCAACCCTTCCTTGAAGTGTCAAATTTGACAATGAGCCCCTCCCACGTGTATGGTGCTATTGCGTGTCGCATGTGCAGCTCAGTGGTTCTGTTGGGGTGATAGGTTCTTCATCTGTGAACATACTCTCAAAGCATGTCAAGTGTCCATGACTATTTATCATATCACAACCTGCATAGGTATTTGCATTTCAATATCCCCTACTTTTTTGAAGAGTATATATGGAGTCCCCGACCAAGGTGTATAATATTTTTGACACTGCCATAAGTCTTTCTTACATGCACTGTGGTCTTAAACATCTGTCATCATCCTCGGCTTTGCTCATTAGTGTTTAAAACACACTTTTTCTTCCTCTAGTCGTAAGAGTGGGGACATTGAGAGTTGCCTCTAAAGCGGGATAGCCTAAACCTTTCTTTGTCTAAATCCAACACTTTATTTACCTTTTAAACATTATAGTTAACTCTAGCAAGGTACTGAGGAGAGGATTTCAAGATTTCTAAAGGCAGGTTCATTTTGAGACTCTAGGCATATGTGCTGGATCGGGGGCTTGTCCAGGAATTTGAGCAAGAGATGGACCGGCTGGTTGGAGAGAATGTCAGGTTTTGTGTGAGGTGTTTGATAAAATCTGAATCCCTAAGACAATATTTCTGCTCATGTAGGTGCATAATAGGATTACACTGGAGTGAGGCAAAAATGGTGGCAAACAATACTTCATACGTTTGTTTGTTTGGGGTTATTTCAATGAATAAACGATATCTATGATGCAACAAATCCACTATTACTATAACTCAAAATAATTTATACCGATTTTTGATAACTTGTCATTCTTTATGCCAAATTGACATTTTTAATTTAGTAGGACGTTAAAGCCCATTTCATTTCATTTCATTTCATTTCATTTCATTTTTCATTTAAAATCATAACGTTATTGTGTCAAAATTCCCCTCAAAATGATTTTTTCAATCGAGGGATTTCTTGGAATACACAAATTAAGTCCCTTAATTGGTTACTGAAGGAATGCCTTTTAAACACTGGTAGAAAGTTGTTTAATAGATTTACTCACAATGTCCATCTTTTTTTTTTACATTTAAACAACATTATATTACACTATCTACTAGCTACATTATATTTAATCTGATATACAATTGTTTTATAAAGTTTGTATTGCGTTTTATACCTACAATTCATTTTATAATTGTATAAAACAAATTTAATAAAATCAGTTGAAATGTGCCTTTATTTTTATAGACCCACATTATGGGTGAGGTCAGAACAAAAAGTTAGTGCTAGTGTGTAGCACCACCGGTCGCCACATCCTACGTATGACCCATGCATCTTTTCTTACTACATATCTTAGTAACCTTGTGATCGTCTAGTATTTTCACCTGTCGTCTTTGCTAAACTTCATGTGTATTTACTTCCTTTCTATCTCAGTTAGTTAAGACATTTGTCTTTCCAGGAAAAACAATGCAACAGTTTGTTTTTATACGCCCACATAAAAATGTGGACGTATATTGCCGTCGCCCCCGTCCGTCCGTCTGTCGTTCCGTCCGTACGTCCGTCCGTCCATCGTCCACAATTTCTTGTGAACGCTCTAACGCCAAAAGTTATCATCCGATCTTTCTGAAATGTATATGCATTATTGAAATTAGTGAAACGAAGAAGCCTATTGAGTTATGGCCCTTGTTTCACTTTATTGAACCTTAAAAGTGAACACACTAACATCAAAAGTTATCTGCCGATCTGTATGAAATTTGCATGCGTCATTTAAATTAGTAAATTTCAGCAATTTCCGTTTATTACTTCTAGAGTTATGGCCCTTGTTTCACTTTGTTTAACCTTGTTATTAATGCTCGATTGATGAAAGTTATCATTCAGTATGTATGAAATTTATATGCATCATTTAAATTTGTGAAACAGAGGTCTATTGAATTAAATTATAATCTGATCTGGGTGGCTGAATGGTTAGCACGTGCGCGCTGTACCATAAAGTCTGTCATTGAGTCAACTGGCGTGGTTTCGAATCCCCGGTTGTACGTGGCAAGGAGTAGGGTCGCCTGTCCAACCTCGTGGGTTTTCTCCGGGTCCTCCAGTTTCCTCCCACTGCTAAAGACCCCTACGCGCAAGCGAATTATTGAAATAAAATTAAACCATGTGTTAGTCCCGAAATGACCTAGTTTGTGTCGAGTGGACGTCAAACCCCATTTCTCTCTCTCTCTCCTGCCTGGCAGCCGCTGGTTTCATTTTAAGTCTGATCCGTCAATCAAACATGTCATTGTCATCAGACCAAGAACTAACTATTTTTTATAATGAGGAAGTACACCTCGCCAAATACAAGAGTCGCATTTCTGAACGACTGTGGGGGCACATCAGCTAGCCGTAAACCTAAATCAGAATATTGTACATGTATTTCAAAAATTGCAGAAAACTCAAATTCACCCAAATTTTTGTTAAATTTTGTTTTTTCGCTTATAGGAAAAGAACAAACAGACATTCTGCCCAAACGTACCGATGATAAAACATGGGCTAACACATTCAACAGTCTCTTTGTCGAGAAAATTGAAAATATTAGACAAGGCCTTGACATGGAAATTTCTGATATGAATAGTCCAAACATAGACAATTATTCAATTAGGTTTGTTAGTGATTAACTGGTTGCCTTTGACGCGTTCACTGAAGAAGAGATCAAGGAATTAATATCAGGAAGCAACGACATGTGCGTTGGACCCTGTGCCCACCAACATTCTGCTTTAAAAACATTAGTATCTGTTATTTAACGGATTATAAATCTAACCTTGGAATCTGGCACATTTCCTAGAATTTGGAAGTAAGCAGTTGTGAAGCCACTAATCAAAAAGTTCAACCTTAACGCCAAACAATTTAACAATTATTGACCAGTTTCCAATTCCGGATAGAACATTGTACTACGAATTTCATTTGGTTTTGAAGGAGAGGGACGATCACTTGTAACGATAGACCTGATATCGAAGCTTGAACCTCCAACATTTCAAACGATTAATACGAATTTGGTTTCATAAGTTGAAGTTTGGGAGAAAGTTTATGTAGCACAGCAAGTCCACCGCCTTTTGGGTTAGATCTACTTCATATGATCAACTTCAAGTTTGGTCAAAGATGACGAGATGTAAACAGGGCTAGTGCTAATCCCAACCCTAACCCCCACACTGGACCTAGCCCTAACGCACACCCTAAACCTAACCTACAATCTCGGCAATAATCTCGTGCCCTAAATTTACACCCTAACCTAGAGCCGTCATTTCTTTGATGATTGATTCATCACCGTTTACTTTTAGCCACGATTCGGTGTCAAGATCATCCTCAAGTAAAGTATCATAATATGTTGATACGTGAAGACTAAAATTTAGGAAAGACTTGGGTTAGATTAGAGTTCCTTAAATTTGTCTATTTTCCGGGAGGTTCCTTGGAGTTGAAATAACACGTATTCGAAGCTTCTAATTATTTCTTCCCCCTCGATAACCTCTTCTCTTTTATTTAGTTGAGACTACCTGAGTTCAGGGATACGCATGCATTCCAATAGTCGCGCGTTTATTGTTTTTTTTGTTCATGCACGTCAGCTTTAATAAGGAATAAATCTTCTGTGCTGGAATTATTAAAGGTTCAGTGAGTATAATATGTTTAAACAATTGGCGAGTAAAAATCTGTTCTTAATGAGGCAGTTTTATGGTCTGTCCAGAAGTACAAGAGCATCGCTAACGCTGGAATATACGTCCACATTCCAGCTTTGATTGATATGGTACTTTTTTAAAATGAAGAGAATGAAATATGAAATGTCTGCAATGATTGTGGACAAGAGGCACAAGTTCTAAGGTAGACAAAGGAAAAGAATTGCTAGCTATTTATCACCTGTAAAATTTTAATTCACATGAATGTATAATAATATACCAATATGAATAATACCTGTCTTGGTTTTAGAAAAAATAAATATTTATATGTATCTATGGTAACATCTATTTTACATCTATAGATTAAAGGGAACACAGAAAGATATGACCAAAACGCTCGCCTACCATTGAAATACAGCAGCGAGTATACCCGATTATGTGTTCCACTGTCGACACAGTAGGCCCAAGGCAAAATTAAAACTCAAATTAGTAAACATGCCGATACCCGCTTAATCTTTCGGGAGAAAACGCGCATATGTGCAACCCAAATCAACACTTTAAAAAACAAAAACAAATCAAATTGGTTTAGCTCGTCTACGTTGAATACGGTAAACAGTTTAGCTACTCTACGTTGTGTAAACAGTTTAGCTGCTTCACATTGTGTAAACAGTTTACCTCCTTCACGTTGTGTAAACAGTTTAGCCACTTCTTGTTGTGCAATCAGTGTAGCTCCTACACGTTGTGTAAACAGTTTACCTCCTTCGCGTCGTGTAAAGAGTTTAGCTACTTTTTGTTGTGCAATCAGTTTACTGTTTAGTTCCTTCGCGTTGTGTAATCAGTTTAGCTCATTCACGTTGTGTAATCAGTTTAGCTTCTTCTTGTTGTGTAATTAGTTTAGTCCCTTCACGTTGTGTAATCCCTCGGGATTTTATTTAATTATGTACTTTTACTAGGTACTCGATATAAAACTCTAGTTAACACGATATGAGAATCAACACTTGCCCGAATATTTTGACCAGAAATTGTTCAGAATATTCGGGCACGTGTTGATGTCGTTCGAAAGAAATATAAAACAGTAGAATGCAAATGGATACCATCCCATTTGGGCATAGTAGTAAATAAGCCTGCAGACAAAAATGCACCCCCCCCCCCCCCAGCTCGTACGCCTATGAATGCATCTGTTCTTGACCTGGACATCAATATAATTAACAATAAATTTAATGTCGGTATTTTCGACAAAACGGGTAAATTTGGTATTGAAGTAATAAAATACCCTTCAATTTATAGTAAAATACCAGATACCACGCTATATAGTGTTTTCAATTCACAGGCATTACGATTTTTGACAATATGTAACAATAAAGAACTATTTCTTTCCCGAATAAAATCTCTTTATTTTAAATGCACTGCCAAAGGCCGTACACAATTACGCATTTTAAAAGAAATTTCGAAACTTCCATTTCTTCAACATACAAAGTTTGACAGTTCTTATAAGTATATAACCGACTACATATTGGATAATGATCAAATTTAAATTTTATTTTAAATTTTCTTTAGTTACCTAATCCTGTCTGAATTATCCCCCTTTTTATGCCTTTATAAATACACTTACATAGTATGATTTCTTCAGCATACCTGTTTTGCATTTCTTGTGTGTGGTATTATATTAATATATTATAAATTGTACAATTTGTACAGTTTATAGCGTATGCCCTTCTTCATTAGCCCAATGGGGGCAGAACAGTAGGGCATTACACACCATTTCATTTCTTTTTTTTTACGTCTCTGCACCAATCGGACTATTGAAGATATTATAGGCATGCTCTATACAGAGTGCTATGATGGAAATATTCAATGGACAGTTAAGTGGCATTTCTTCATCGAATTTCAACTGTGAAGGGTTCTTTTATGTGCACGCCAGTGTGTACACAGGAGCTTGTGTTTTTGTCCCATCTACACAACCAGATACTGCTCTTTGTCAGGCCCTTCGTCCTGCACTACTGAAAGGGAGTAACCATGCTGCAATATCCCGGGGAACTTTCTTGAACAACACCAGGACCAGTGTACATAATCATAATAGTGGTCAAGGATTTTTTTACTGTTTTCTGTTCGTATTGTTTAATCATGTTTTCCACGACTGTCATATAATACAGCTCCGTTAAATTTGTTTAAAAAATTATATATTGTGATGACGTTCCATTGTAGATTTCAGCAAATATTTATACAGTTCATTCACATTTGAAGTTAGCTGCGGATTGGCAATAGTTTTGATTGCAACATGTTCTTGTCTTCATCCACGGATCCAGGGTTTTTACTTTGCTTTTCCACATAAAGCAAGCGGATTCTTTTTCCCCACGTTTTTTTTACTATCCGCACTAATGACACCAAACATCAGTTAGCCGGAGCTCCTGTATTAACTTGTTTTTATTTTGACAAAGGGGGAAGATGATCCGTTCTCTCTTCTCACGACATCGATTTTTAAAACCATTTTTTAAAGCGACTTTTAGATATTCAAGGACTTGTTTTTTAT